GTTAGAAGGCTATTCAGGTGCTTTGTTCTAGCATGCTGTGGAAACCCCATGCTCAGATTCAAAAAATGAATGGAAGAAAGTGGTCAGCTCAACGTGTATTAAACTTCGCAAGCTTGCGCATGATATATAAGAAAATGTACTAAAATTCCCTCTAGCTTTGGCCTTTAGAGAATATGGAATTTTCAGATAGGCTCTCCCAGAGGTAAAAAAAAAAAAAAAAAAAAGCTTCACTCCAGGTTGACAAAGCACCTAACATCTCTCTTAAATGAAATCAGTGATTTAATTTTCAATGTGTTGAAGCATATAAAGGTTACCGACATGTAGACACATCTGTGTGATCTTTGCAAATGAAAGAATATAAACAATTCTTAATTGTCATTGAACTCCAGATTATTTTTTCCAATTACATATGAACATGGCTTCAATGCTCTAAAAATTCAGGACATCTTCAATAAAATAATAAAACTATCCTGTAAAACCCAAACTAATGAAAAGCATAAATCCAAGTCAGTTCCCCAATTTGATTCTTTAGCTACATACTGAGAATAGACAAATGAGTTTAAATATTTATAACTGGATAATTCTTAACAATTTATATTTATGTAACCAAGTTTGATTTAACATTGTCTGTTCCTTAAGTTTGCCGAATTCCTAGCTAAATAATTCTCTAAGGAAAAAAGAAGGATGGGAGGAGGAGGAGGGAGGGAGGAGGGAGGGAGGGAGGAGGAGGAGAAGGAAGGAAGGAAGGAAGGAAGAGAAGGAAGAAGAGAAGAAGGAAGGAAGGAAGGAAGGAAGGAAGGAAGGAAGGAAGGAAGAGTGATTTGATTTTGAGGTCTTTCCTAAAAGATATTGGCTATTTTTAATAAAAATATTAATAATAGTCACTGTGTGTTTATTAAATTCTAATGTTGTCCATGACAAAAATATTATATAAATTATTGTTATTTCTTACAACAATACTCTTGATTCATATGTCTCAGATGAGAAAACTGGAGTTTGGGAATTTGAAACAATTTGCTCAAATTACACACCATATAAACTGTGAAATCCAGGTCTGATGGCCCCCAGAGCCCATGCACTATATCAACTCCATTACAGTGGCTGTTTTTTATCCCTAGATTAAGTTTTTCATGTTACAAATGTGACCTGCAGATGTAGGATCTTAATAAAGTAAAGATGACTTTGAGGGCCAAAATTTCCCCCGAAGTTTACATTTTCACACACAAAACGTTGCACACTAAAGACATGCCCTGTTTTATGGTGTTTGTATATTTCTCACCTTCAAGATTACCCATCTTCCTATCCCTCTTCCACCTCCCCTTCCTTCTCACACTGACAGGTGATTTCTACATGCATTGACAGTCAAGACATCACTTTCAGAGTAAGTCCATGTTTGAGTTGGATCTTTTAGCCAAAGAATTAAGGCTCAGGTTCAAGCCCTATGCTCTTATTTTTGTTTTCTTCCTTATTGTGAAGCTTTCTTTCTGCTTTGTTCATTTCCCCACATTTCTTTTGTTGAACTGCAGCACTTACCTGGCTCTGTCCTTGAACCCTTAAGCTGGTCTTCCAATTATCCCCTGCTTGTAAGTCCCTGTCCTCTGCACAGATAAACACTTGCGCCTACTATCCTACCAGCAAATGCCCCTGGCCAGCGTCAGGACACCTGACTCATCCACGATCCCTCCCTTTACCTTCTACCCATTACCGATTGCCTAGATCGCAAACTGCTTCTCCCAGCCGCCAAAGAACACAGCCTTTTCCCTCCTGAACCTCCTTTAGCCAAAGCAGCTGCTGGCACCCTTACCCCTGGGGTTCCTGCTCCTTCCTAGAGTAAGAATCTAACTTTCTAATCACAACCCCGGTAGTCTTTGCCTTCTTGCCCCATCCTTTTCTATGGACACAAACTCATGCCTGGCTGAGAATAACAGGAACAAACAGGTCTGTTACTTGATGAACATAATAAATGTTTTCCTCCCAGAGGAGAGAGTGGCAATCTTTCTTAAACTAGTGCTGATTCTAGCATTTTGGAAGGCTTTTGCTGAATCTATCACTGAGATCCCTAAAGATAGAAGATGTAAGACTCTCTGACAGCATCACACAGAAAATTGGATACAATCTCACAGCATGAGAAAACACACTGCTGAGTGGGTATAATGCTAAATAATAACAGGACGCTCTAAAGAGAGGAGCCAGTGAGTCACAGAAAGACACAGTAAATGTTGCAGTCAAATTAAGTTGCACAAGACTCATTTTAGGAGGGTTCAGAGAAAAGACCAAAAGTGTGCGGTGGAATTGAGATACGAGAAATGTGTTTGCTCAAACCTTAAATCCAACAGAACAGACTGCTAGAAATTGCAAAAATCTTGAGCTGCTAATAAAAAATAAATTAAAAATTCTTGAGCATCAATTTCAAATCATTTTGCCTTACTTCCTACAAAATTTTTAAAAATAATTTGTGAAAATTATTTTTCACAAATTATGAAAAAATTTTTCATAATAAAATGAAAAACTAATTTAAAAAAAATCACAATAACCAAGGCACAGAAAGTAAAGAAGAATGAGTTAAAATTTGAAGTCTGATTATCTAATAGGGCATGAGGCTATATTCAAGACACCATTTTTCCTTTGTAATAAACCTAACTTAGTTGTCAAAGGCTTGATAAATTATCAGTAATTTAAAAGTATGGTTTCTTTCCTTTAAATCCCCAAAGTTTGCAGTTATCATCAATTTCAAAAGACTATCTCTGAGGAGATATTAGAACACAACTGCAATAAAAATGCTAGAAGAAATTATTCAGAGTATCATATCAGAAAATAATTTAAATTAGGCCATTTAAAGGAAAGAAAACAAGGGAATATTTTGAATAACTCAGAATATAAATGGGAAACTAACTGGAAAATAAATCATTAATCTGAAACAAATTAGTACATAAGAGCTAAATCACTTGGATAATGCTATTTAAGATAAATAACACTTGGGATACAGGAAGTTTTTTAATTCACCCTAAATTGACCATGTGTTAACTGTGGGTGGATTATCTGCCTCAGGAGGTGTCCTTTGCTGCAATTGGAAGCCTATACCCATCCAGATAGAGAAAATCACCTTATTATTCTGTAACAAGATGGCAAAAAGTAATGTTTGCAAACAGGAGAGTGTACAAATTCAATTTCTAGCTCCAGCTATGAAGAACAAAGCATGAAAAAGTGTAGGCTATTTAGTGACTGTCCTACAATGTTATCTTTAACTAGACAGCTAAGGCCTGGCCAAGGCAGGTCCACACACTGGGGTGGGTGGGGAAGGTGAACAAGACAGGCCATGGAGAACAGATGTAAGATCTTAAATACCTATTGTTTCCCCATTGTGAACCTCATCATTTCTGTCATGCCTTATAAGGTCCACTACTTTTATATATTATGTGATAAAACATGGCATCTTAGAAGTTGCATTTGTCACCGAGCTTCCTGGAACAACTCTTCCTGACTTTGCAGCATCTCCAATATTCTCGCTGGCTCCATCCTTACTTCCAAAGCCATTCCCTCCCTCGTCCACTGAAATATCTCATATTTTCCAACCTTCCCATCTCTCCCCAACGTTTGCCCATTGGATTGATTCAGGAAAAAAGTAAAGTACATGGAAGAGGATGTTACTGAGCAGGGGTTAGCAGGGATGCGTGTGGATCTAAAAGAATCCACAGAGTGAACCATCTGACCGGAAGGGCCACTTTGACATGCGGGCAGATCAAGCTCTTCCATGCAAACAGCACTTCACTCTTACCCTGTACCCAACTGTAACTTTTCAAACAAAAAAATGTGAATGAGTTCAGTTGTTTATCATTTGAGGCTGAGGTAAGGAAGTAAAATGCTATTTGCATAGAAACTGCAGCTTCTGTCAAAGCACTTGAACATCTCATTCAGCCCAGCGGGCCTTGTTCTCCAATCCACATGTTCTTACTCCAGATGCATGCCTCTCTCACATCTAAGTTTTTCAGGAAAGCCAGTCTTTTCTCACGCAAGAGAATGGGTGACTACAAAATGTTTTTTCTAGTCTAGTATTCACCTGGGGTGAGCCAATTGCTCAGGTATCACCGTATGTTTTAATCAATAAAACCAAAATTATCCTTCCCTTAGTAATCACATTCGATTTTACTCTCTTATTTTTAAATAAACCCTCCTGTTTGATTCGCCTCTCTCATTTCCTTCCTCTGTTCTATTTATCTTAAGTCTAATTTAGTTCCCTCATGTTTAATGAATGTAATTGTCACCGTGCTACAATTCCTATGCTTTTGTTTCTTTGCTTGTTTCCTTTTTTGTAACCAATGTCTTTGCTATATTATACCTCTACATTTCATTGCCCACTTACTATTAAAACTTGCCTAGCTAAGCTTTCTTAGAAGAATTTAATAATCTCCCACTGCTCAAATAATAAACCTACCTCTAAACCCGTTTCTTAATGTTTATTTGCCTAAGAAGATGGTCTAATAAGGTCAAAGGCTGAATAAAAGATTAATTACGTATATTTAGAAAATGAAATGAATTGTATCTTTTTCAATAAGAAAAATGTAACATGAGCATCTTCAATAAAATTGTCTAAGTTTCACTTTTGTGGTAAAAAATTATTATTGAAATCTTAATCACCAAAAATTAATGTATTAAACACATAGTATAAAAGGTGGTACTACATATAGTTCCTAACTCAAAAGAGTAAAATCCTCTTCAAAAAACACCAAATCTAACAACTAATAGTACAACTAAAAGGAAAACAACACATTTTCTTGTTTAAATCTGCTCATTTCATCTTGTGAACATTTTTTAGCATGGTGCATGACAGCTAAAATAGAAATTATTTTTTACAAATATGTCAAAATTATTTGTTGGAAGAAAAAACTCCAACAAGATTTGAAAACCCATTTTTGGTTTATACCAAGCGTTCATCAATTCCAAACTGCCTAAATAGAAACTTAACAGTTAATATTTCATTGTCTAAATTAAAAAATACTTACACTATTGGTTTTTCCAGGCGACTTCCCTGTGAACCAACAATCTCCCCCAACGTACAAAACACTTGTCCCAGAAAGTCCTAAAATAGACAAAAGGATTAAAGCTCATAAGTTCCCAAACTATCTTTACAGTATATATTTTGTATATCACACATTTGCATTGTTTTCGTTGCTGAAATATGGAATTTTCTAACTTCCAATAATAAATAAAATAATTTCAATAGACATTAATTTTAGCATGTGACTTTCACGTAAGTTTGCACACTATTTTGTGCTTTTAGTCACAAAGCAGTTTTGTTATTTTGAGTTTTCCAATATTGCACCTTTTTTCTTTTTATGTTTTAAGCTAAAAGGTAATGGAAAAAAGTTTGAGGTTTTGAACACACAAAGTAAAAACTATGCTATTCAGTGGCAGACAGAAAAAAGGAGTGGGGCTGCTCTCAGTGAAAAGAGGGTAAAGAAGACCTGTGTAGACCAGGACAGTCAGGAGGGTATTTTCCCAAAGCAATTACTTTCTTGAGAGCCAGGTAGGACTCAGAGCAGATAGTGGAGAAAAGATAATTGGACATTCTAGTCTTGGAGAACAGATCACTTGCAGGCGAGAGAGTAATGAGAAAAGAGAGGAATTCAAGTAAAGGGCAGACACGGAGACAAGGAGCCAAGATTACAGAGGGCCCTCTTGGCCGGACAGAAACCTTGTCTTGGCACAGAAGTAAGCAAAAGTCTTTCAGCAATTCAGGGACACTAGAACAGAGCATTTAGAAGATTACTCAAGTGCCTGTTTGTAGAATAGACTAAGCAGTGAGTGAAAAAACTAGAAGCCAGATCAATCAGAAGGCTGTAGTAGTTAATAAGAAGCAAAATGATAAGGTCCAAACTGAGATTGTAGCAAAGAGGAGGGAACAGTGCACAAAAAAATGACAAGATTTGGTGAAAACTGTTCCTGTACATGAGAGAGAGACAAAAAAATCACCCTGAATCTGGTACTTGGTTACTGCCAGAATTGACTATGCTTTCATAAAAATGCAAATCATTTTAAATTTGCTTTCAAGTATGTAAAAAGAAGTCAAGGCAAAACTTTAGCATATTTAAGCTAAATATCCTTAATGACAGCATACCTATATCAATGTCAAAACAGATTCTACAAATATGTTTATGGGATTTTAATAAACCTAAATTTCTCTGAGCCTCATGATAGCTAAACAGATCTGAATACTAAAGATTTGGAATGTATCATTACTCTTCTGAGTCAGCAGCAAAAAACACACATGACTATAGACAAACAGTATTCTTTTCTAAGCATTCTTTTCTAAGAATACTTATGTTCATGGGCAGCTGCAAATACTACATATTAAATGGGTTTGGCCAAGGGAGTAGCAAGTCTCAGTAAAAGCAGTTGATGCTGAAATTACTCAAGAGAACAAAAGAGAAATATTGGGCAATATTAGGGTTGGGACATACTAACAAATACAAGAGAACACATAAACATCATCATTGCTGAACAAAAATGAAAATTAAAATAATCAAATCAATAAAATGTGCACCAAAACATTACGCTATGAATCTATGCACATTATCTTTGCAGTTATTGCACATTTTCCTTCCATGTATTTGTGGCATTTATGTAATTGTTTTACACCTCTGTGTGTTTGTGTAGGCCCTATTAAAAAACAGACTTACTATTCACAGTGGAAAAATCAGCAAATTATATTTATCTCCTACTCATCATGTTGGAAAGTTCTACCAAATCCATTTTTTTAGGCATCTTAATGGGTGATGTTTCCTATGGATTTTACACACTAATAATACAGTGTCTTTAATGGATATTTTTAGATATTTTGGTTACATAAAGATGGAAATAAACACTAGCTGTACTGTGAACTGCTTTATCATTTCTCTCTCTGGTGTTGTGTTTCAGTCGATGAGTCATTATAATTAGGTCATGATAGTATTTCTAGTAATAAAGCCAAGCACCTTTCCACAACTCTAACCCACATATAGACCAAATCTAGCTTAGAGTGTCTGGCAGTTGAGAAATGCTTCCATTCATTCAATCTTTTTAACTATTGGACTCTCCTCAAACTGGTCATGAGATCAATAAATATTTATGGAGTGAGTGAATTATTACTTTACAATCTAAATAACAGACTGAGAGAAAACTTCTGGAATCTGTTTAAATGTACATAAGCCACATTGTTAGTACACAGAATGCACTCCAACACTCTTAAAAAGTACCCAGATATTACCCTCAATTCAATATGCTGGTATTAAAGCTGGAAGACCTAACAGTAAGAGAAAAGCAGAGAGTACAGTAACACAAAACATTACAGCAATAATATGAGTTCCACATTGGATAAATAGTTTAAAAAAAAACAACTAACCAGATAATCAGAGAGAATGTGTTTGGATTATTCCCAGAATGACCTAGATTTATTACTAACATATGGCTCAAAACTGAAGGAAGTTTTGCTATACCATCAGGTTCCAGCTGATTAATATGTAAACACATTTATGTTTCTCTTCTCTTTCATGCTAATATTCAGAGAAATGTCTACTTTAACTATATACATAACATTCTTATTCCTTAAAATTTATTACTTTATTATTTCTTGTGTACCAATTATTTAGTGATCAATTCCCTCCATCTATATTTTATTATATAGTATAGTTTGTTACTTGTCTATAGTCCTGAAAATTACATTAATATTCTAGGCTCTAATAATTCTACACATTTTATAAAGGGAAATTTGCAGCAAAAGAACTGGTTTTGTCAGTTGGTTTGTTTGCTTTCTATCTTGCTTGCTAGGTACAATTATTAATGGTTCCTATGTAGCTTTTCAAAAAAATCTTACACATACATTTATTTATTTTGCAAAGTAGTATAACATATTCCTTAAGAATAAGAATTATGAGGGACGAATCTGCCTGTGTTTATATCAAGACTGAATAATTTACTCATGTCTCTATACCTCAGTTTCCTAATGTAGAAAACGGACATAAAAATAATACCTACCTTAACACGTTGTTGGGTGAACTAAATAAGTTAATACATGCCGAGAATATATATGCAAAGCACTCAGAACAGATGCTTGGACTACGATAAGCAACTAATAAAATGACTCCCTCATCTTTCCTACTCCCCTTGGTTAAAAGAATAGTACTGTATGTTCAAAATGTACTACTTGCTATTAGATTCCAATACTGAGATAATATAATTATCTAAATAAGATACTTTCTTTTCCAAAGCCACTTTACAGTCATGGCCAATATTTGTTTATTTTTTAAAAATGCTCACTGTAAATGCTATTATAAAACCCAAATATTTCTTATATACCAACTCGTCTTACATGTTGACTAGTATCTATCTATCTATCTATCTATCTATCTATCTATCTATCTATATATATATATAGATAGATGACATTTTGAAAATAATGGTATGATGAACCAGGAGGCATTATCTATAAGTGAAATTTCCAATTTCTATACTACTATAAAGGAATCAATACATGTAGTTTATCACTAACATCATCATAAACAATTTCATAAGCATTCAATTGTCCTTCTACTCAAGATAATATAATGACATTTTAGTTTTATGAAGTGATCAATAAGCATCTGAAAACATAATTTCCCTAATTAACAGATAATTTAAATTAAAAGACATTAAATAGGTTTACTGATAGTTCAGTTTTAATACAGCACAGTAATTGTGTGCACTCAACTGTTCATCATTTGATTTCTTCATAAGATAGAGTCATGACTTGCGTCAATCTATTGCCTCTACTAATTTTATTGTCATTTAACTGATTTTTAGCACATTCAAACTATGTTTAATGCATGAAAATATGCTAAAAAAATATACACCTTCACTGAAGGCTAATGTTGTGTGGCCAAAACAATCCAGTAAGCCATTAATGTGCCTAAAGCAAAAATTTTAGCTGGTGCCTTCTGAGATCAACCAAGTGATTAAATGCATTTTGGACTGCCTTGTGGGTACGAAAATTTAGTATACAAAGTACAGTTTCAATGTCCTCTGGTCCAGTACACCAAGTAGAATCCTATGCACACCAATTATGAGCCTGTCATTAATCTTTTCATTAATGATTTGGCTTATGTAATTAAATTATGCAAATGAAAGCACGCTATGTAATTCTGCTAATGGCATCAAGATGAGTAGGCTCACTAGCACCTTAGAGAACAAACCTGGAATTCAAAATGCCATGTTTTATTCACAAGACATAGCACTTATGGGAAAAACTAGTTTTGTAAACATATTTCCTCAGAGAATCATAAAAGGCATAAATCTCTAAAAGATATCCCTGGATTCCATAAGTCTTTGCCTGGAGCACAATAATTTTCCACTTGAAACTTTTCTCTCACTATTAGAATCAATTAAATTAATTCTGATCCTTTAGGTCTCTCACCTTGTATTCATTTGTATTGTTAGAAATCTAAGGTAAAGTTTCATATTATATCTCCATTTTTCCCTAATACTATCAAAAATTAGGAATTTGACCCAAAATCCTTAAATACTGGACACCAAATAAAGTCACCCTGAAAGGGAATTCTTTCAAAATTATCAGAAATGAGACTTTTAAAAATATTTTATTAGTACTAATTCAAGGAATCTCTCTTGCTACTAAATCCCTTTTGTAAAAGATAACTAACTGCCTTAACTCCACACATGAGCCTGTGTGCTTAGCAATCTTTCCTAAAAGGGTCCAGTTTATACTTCACTTTGCAAAATTGGCAGCTAGACAACCACACTCTTAAAGAATCATATCCTCAGAAAATAGACCTATCTTATTTATTAGTTCTAGCCAATCTTCCAAATGCCTTATGAATTACTTTTGGGTTGAATGAATTATATGTTCTTTTTACCTAAAAAATCTTGGTTAACCTTGGGGAGCTTTTCAAAAATAAGAAGACCTTTTTGTTTTTTTCATTTCAACATAAATTCAAGGCAGTTCATCTTCTAACGATTTCTTGTAATAAGTCAAAAATGTAATTTCTTTCTCTCTTTTGAAACAATGCTTCCAGCCTCTCTACAAGCTTCATGCACTTATTGACTAAAATTTGTATTCCCTCAGCAAATATACTTTAAAAATATAAACAGAGGAGAAATGTAAAAGATAGATAGAAATTGTGAGATAGTATAAACTTTGAGGAACTGTATCCAGTAAAAGGTAATAAAGAATCTGGAAAACTAAGAACTGCCAAGAAGAAAGACAACAGAAAGAGAACTTGTTCTTTAATTAGAATGAACGGGTTTTTGGCGACCATGAAAACGTGGGAAATATTGAGACAGAAAGTGGTTAACCATGCCATCCAACTTTTTCTAAACTAGGTAGAACTGTGTTTGAATAAATTATATTCGCAGACAAGGTAATAGAGGATTAATAGAGACAAGGAACAGATTGGGTATGGAAAATACCGTGCATTTTAGATCATTTTGGAGTTTTTAAGACTCTTAAGTATATCTACTAAAAAAAATTAATACTTAACAACAAATTGACAACTGGAATTGCTTTAAAAATTCAACAGAGCAGAGAACACTTGAAAGGAATTGTCCCAGGGTTAAAAGCATGAAAAAATTTGGCGGACCTTCCCCCCAAGAAGAGGTTAATACAGTGGGGAGAACTAAGATTTAAACTTAAAAAAATAAAGGCTATGGGGAAAAACCAACTATTATTAAAGGTAGGAAGGGAAAGGAAAGCAAAAACTACTATGTCAGAAGTAAGTTTTTTTAAGCAAGAAATTGGAAAATTCAAGAAAATAGTAAGTTGAGAGAGGGAGATTGAAAAGGAGGGGAAAGTTCATAATAGAAAACTCAGGCCTGTTTTTCTTTGGAAGAAAGTATGGTGAATGAGAAGATAATAAAAAGAAATATATGAGGAAAAATAAAGCAGTTTTGGGGTTTCCAGCATAAAATTTTTTGAAGAAATGAAGGGAATCCATGAAAATTTTTTTCTTTGTGGGGGAAAAAAAGAAAAGCTTTTTCTACAAAAGAGAAAACATTTTGAAAGATATATACATTCACGGCTTCTAAGGAAGGCAAAATATTCCTACAATAAATTAAATTGCCTTTGGCATTACTGGAACTTGAGGAAAGAGTAAAGCTATCAATTTTTGGGGAAAAGATTACCTTCCCAATCCCATAACCAAATATTCTCTTGCCCCTGAACTCAAAGCAAACCTAACATTGGTTGGGAACCACAAAACTTTTTAACACTTGCCCCTTCAAAATACAAACCTTTCATGAATGCCCCTAACTGCCAGTTTATTATTGCCATTTGAAAAAGTTAGTTTGAAACTAAGAAACACCAAAAATGTATTCCCAGGAAAGTTGAATATTTTGTTAAGTCTTGGTACAAGTCTGACTTAAAGGGGGGGTCATTTTCACCATGTGTTAAGTACAATGTAAGTAATTAGAAACTTGGTCTTCAGAGAAAACAGAAAGCCTCAGAGAAAGCCTGCAAAAAGAATAGGCTGACTTCAAAGAAGAGAGAAAAAGAAAATAGAGAAATAGTTATCTCAGTCCCAACCCATTACCAAGATATTTTGGCTTCTCTTCCATAAAACAGACTAATTTACTTCACATATAGATGAAGTTTTACCCTATCCTTAATCAACCCATCTCCTAAAGTAAAGATAAAAGAAAAAATCATTTTCTTGGCCCACGGCCCGGTGCTGACGCCTGTAATCCTAGCTTTCTCTTGGGAAAGGCCGGAGGCGGCAAGAAAATGCCCAAGGGTTCAGGAGTTTTCGAAACCAGCCTGAGCAAAAGACGAACCCATCCTTCTACCATTAAATAGAAAGAAATTAATTGGCACTAATATCATATAGGAAAAAATTTAGCCGGGCATGATGGGCGAATGCCTGGTTTAAGTCCCCCAGCATTACTTTTGGGAAGGTTGAGGAAGATGGAAAAAAATTGCTTGAGCCAGGGAGTTTTTGAGGTTGCCTTTGGTGAGCTAAGCTGAAAACGCCATGGGGCACTCACTTTACGCCTAGGCAATAAAGCAGAGACTCCCTTGGTTCTCAAAAAAAAAAAGAAACATTTCTTCCTTGAAACTAAACAATTTTTGACTAGAAAAGCAAGTTCTTTTTTCGTTTTTCTTCTAAGGACATTTGGAAAACTTCCAATACAAAGCTATGCAAACAAATTCTAAACATCCTGTACAATGCTATAAACTACCATGATCAGGAAGATGGCATGGCAACCCCCATTAATTTGACTTATGGAGAGAAATGAGTTTGTTACAGCAATCTTTTTTCAATTTGTATAGAAGTCAATCACTTAGACTGTTCTTTGAATACTTCTTCACATGATTCTGCACTGTGCTTCATAACACAAACAAATATCCTACCTCCTTTCGCGAAGGAGGAATAGTAAATTGTGATTTTTACCATCATACTTAGGCTCCCAGTTTACTAAAATCTGTCTTCTAACTTGTGATTCCCCCTACATTTCCTCTCTTCTCTGAATTATGACATTCCCCCTCTCCAAACTACGCTGGAAATCATATCCCCATCTATTCTAGTTTGACAGCCTACAACAATGGAAAGGTGAAAAAAAAAAAAAAATCTCACCCTACTGAGTCTCTGGGCACGATGAGCCCAGCTGTCTTCCCAACCCTGACACAGCTGCCAATTTCTACATCTATGTACTTGGCACCTCAACGAACCCCTTTCAGAATGCTGTTTTTACCCTCATTCATCCCGTCCTACCAGGTGTGGCCTAATTCCAACCCCACAGGTCAATAAACAGGTTGATGGACCAGCAATGCCTTGCCAGATTATCTCACTCTCATCCCTCCCTTCCCACCATCCCCTCTTCCTCTGTCTCTGAAGCCCAACTGCTCCTGCACCTGGAAACTTCCCAGGTGACTCTTATTGCCTGGCAAGTAGAGCCTTTGAGAAAAGAGGAATGAGTAGAAGAACCAAAAAAAGAAAAGAAGAAACTGTAAGTGATTTGAAGACAGAAACTATCTGTCTTGCCCACATTATATCCTCAGAAATCAGCATGGTGCCTGGCATATGGAGGTATTCAGGAAATATTGGTGAACAAATGAAAGAAATGCAGAAGCATAAATCACTCTGCCTACACCCAAGTACTTCCTCTTCTCTCAGAAGTGAAACCTTCTAAAAAGATACAGGCTTATTATTTCATCTTGTTTAAACTGATCCAACTTCAAACTTTACAAGGAACTCTCATCATTTCTTATAAAAAAAAAAGATTAATCTATTTCACTTACTGAAGCCATCTTTCTTTTAATAGGTTCTTTTTAAACATTTTTCTAGGATTCTTTAAAAACATTATTTATTTACTATGACAATCACATTACATGAGAAGTTATAGGCATATAACTTTAATGTTAATAAATCAGTGTAAATATTAATCATAAGTCATATTATAATGTCTACCATACAATCATCATAAAAACAAAAATATGAACTTACATGTTTGGACAAGTTGGGGCTCTTTGAATCAACATCATACCTAAAAGATTGAAATATAAAACTCAAATTATTTCCACAAAGTACAGCTAGAGAAAAATAGAAGTATTTTCCAAAACACACAAATCATGTAAAAATGAATCAAAAACAATACCAACTGGGAGAAAACCTCAGCAAATTTAAAAACCTCTCTTAAGCTGCAACCTGGATGTCAATGGTAGAATTCACAAGTACTACTAGGTCCTTTCATGCCTACAAACCTAAGAAAGCCTAGGATTTTCCCAATCATCCATTCTGCTGTTTGATAAGTTTACAATTTCTTCTTTTCTGTGAATCAGTAGTATCCTGGTACTGTTCAATTGACTTCTGAATTCCCTAAAAACTGAAAATCCCTCTTTTAAGAAGGCAACATGAGGGATCCTTGTGGTAATGGAAATGTTCTGAATCTTGACAAGATCAATGTCAATATCCTAGTTGTGATACTTACTGCAAGATGGAGCCATTGGGGGAAACTAGGTAAAGGATACCCAAGTCCCTCTGCATGCTTTCTGTATTATGTTTTACAGTTTTCGTGTGACTAAATCTACATTTAACTCAAAATAAAATATTTTATTTAAAAAATCCAATCAATCAATAAATAAGCAGATCCTAGTAACAGGCTATCCTTTGTATATATTTTACTTCTTCCTTAATATCTTAAGTGCTATTGCACACTTTGAAAATTGGCTGAAGTAAATGAGACACTATTTTTGCCCAATGACAGGACTTAGGAAAACTGTATATTTTATGAAAACGGAAACCTATTTACACAGGACTACTATATATTCTGGTTTTGACCAGTTGGTACTAGAAATAAACTCTCATTTCTTACAGGGATTCTGGATAACAACATTCATTACCACTTTGTCCCCTTGTTTTCAAGTGTTTTTAGAAGTAGAGAGATTGCTGACAGTCAAAATAACCCCAATTTACCAAATTCTTGAATAGGGAAATATTTGTACTAGCTCTAGTCTTTCTCTCCAATCATATTCATTTCACATTCTTTGTGTGTAGCTTCCTACAGAAAATTAACTACCTTTTCTTTAAGGTTAATTAAAGTCTTCTTTCTCACATAACAAGAATATTTACACAAAGAAAGAAAGCATCTCAATCAAGAAAAGTTCATGAGTATACTGATGCAGGCAGAAGTGCACTCACCCTCTAACAAAGAGTGTTTACCACAAACTGGCTTTAAAATTGCATGATGCAAATACCTGCCTCAGAAGAATTTAAAATTACTCTCCTTCACATCAGGGCATTCTGAGCACTGTCAAGAGCTATAGCCTAGAACTTTAGCAAATTGCCAACATGTATGGTAGAACTACAGATGCTAGTGCAAAGAATGTTTCTTATCTGATATAGTTTGGATGTGTGGCCCCTCCAAATCTCAAGCTGAAATTCGACCCTGAGTGTTGAATGTGGGGCATCGGAGGAGGTGTTTGGGTCATGAGAGCGAATCCCTCATGAAAGGTTTGGTGCCTTCCCCACAATAATGAGTGAGTTCTCCCTTTTTAGTTTATGTGAGTGCTGGTTGTTTAAAGGAGCCTGGAACCCCCTCCTCTACTCTCTCTTTGCTCCTTCTTTCCACATGTGACATGCCGGCTGCCCCTTCGCCTTCCACCTTGACTAGAAGGTCCCTGAAGTCCTCACCAGAAACAAATGCTGGTGCCAGGCTTCTTGTACAGTCTGCAGAACTGTGAGCCGAACAAACCTCTTTTCTTTATAGAAATTACTCAGCCTCAGGCATTTCTTTATAGCAGTACGAAATGAACTGAGACATTATCCAAGCAATTTTTCTTATTCGAGATGATTATTTCTTAAAGACAAGATTGAAATTATCCATTGTAACAATATCAGAGGTGACGCATAGCTGTGCTGCCTCCTACTCAAGAAGCAACCCTGGTGTCCTCCCTGGTAGACAAATGATTAGGATTCTGTGCTCGCAAGAATCAACCCTGGAAACCATCTTCAATAGATGATCGAATCCGGACTGGGGAGAAATGACATGGTATACTCAGTTCAGTTCAAAAGAATAAAAAATAAAAAAAAAAAAGGAAGAAAATTTTAAGCCTTCACCACAAAAAGCTGAAGTATCTTCAAGTACAAACCTCATTTACTGTATTTAACAAAGCTTTTAAAATACTATTATCTCATAAATGGGTAATTTGCATCATACCTCTGAAGACTTCAGATAATGTGTTAGAAATTAGCATTTTTCTTTTAATGGAATTTTTCTTTCAGCTTTTTCTGAAAATATCAAGGCTACTCTGGTCCTCCCTCTCACAGGTCAGAACATAAACACTACATACGTCCTAAGTGGTTATAATGTACATGTGTACGTGTGTCTGACTATGAGTGTCATGTTCTCCTTAAGGAAGAGAGAACACACGGCAAAGCGGGAAGCTCAGTAGTAGTTTCCCCCAAGAGGGTGCATCCCACTGTGCCTAAATTTACTAAGGACAAATTTTGTGAAAAACTTCACCTTGGTATTGAAACCTTATTACTAGAGTAATGAATTGGCAGTAACTAATTTGGGTGCATCTTATGGATTATGTTTTCTGTCAGAGAGTAACAGATGTTGACTGGACGTTTTCTTGTATTTCTAGAATTGCAACTAAGGCCCAAAGCATAAACCAAAAGATGCTAAATATCCCCTCATGCTCAGAGCTACCGGTGTGTCACTCCAACGAGGGCGAGAAGCCTTCTCCACAACGCTTCAGAAACCAGCCCATGGCCTGGTGATGAGCACAGTACTCATAAGGCAAGGACTGTTCTCTCCCTGCCCTTAAGCCAAGTGAAATGTAGCTCCAAAATCTGAGGTGCCTGCAAGAAGGTGAGCACAGCATCTGGTTCACCTGTCAGCTACATAGCCTGCCTGCAGGTCTGCCCTGGGGCTGCCAATGGAAGAGTATCCCACATGAAAGTTCTAGAAAGTATTTTCTGAGAACTGAGGAACAAGGAGTCATCCTTTTTTAGCCTCTCTTCCACAATGACAAGACAAGCCAGGTGCTTAAAATGTGTCCCCTGACGCTGGCACCCTCAGAAGGTCTATGTTTTTCAGAAGGTAAGAGACCCATATCTCTACCCGCAACACCCCTTTCCTGCCTGTTCCTCCACCTCCCTCCCCTCCTGCAAGGAGCTGGGGTGATAGCGTCAATTGAGGCGAGAGGATGTAAACGGATTTGAATTAAGTTTGAGATTAAAGTTTTAAAATAAAGACTCCCTAACAATTAATAGTATGAGATGGTTCTAATAAACAAAAGCCACTGAAAGGGCATGAAATGAGACCTTGACACTGTTAAAGGAGTCCTTGATCATACATGTTCAAAGCTTCTTTTTTACTGTTCTTTTTTTAGAATTTTATAAAATCAATGGACATTAAATAAATCCAAAACAATTCTGAAAATTACTTACATCTATCTGTCTGCCAATTTACACTAGTGCATCTTTCAGGGCTGTTGTTCCCCTCAAGGGATCATATTACTGCAGTAAAAACTGATCATACAAAATGGAGTCATTTTGTCATAACCAACTAAAATAGAGTCGGGGCTGGAGACAATGGGAAAAAAAACTCAGGGATCACAAACGTCTATTCCGGGAACTGTTTCACAAGCCCAGTTCAAAAATCACAATGACCTGCTCTGACTGAGGTAAGTTTTACCGTAACTGCTGCCAATCAGAGCTCTCCAGCGTCTGCAAAACACTGCCAGCGCCAATGAACTTTCCTTCAAAACAACCTACACAACTTTTCTCTTTTCCAATAAAACCCCCGGCTTTCCCTTCGTTCTTCAGATACACCAGAAGCTACTCTGTTCTGTGCAGACATGTCCAGACTTGCAATTCTAATTCCTGTACATTATTCCCAAATAGACCCTTTGTTTGGAGATTTATCTCTCCATATTTTTACTTAAAAGTTGACACTGCCAATATGTTGGAATATTTATAATAGTTCTCTGAGTGATGGAAGTTAGTACTATAGATGATTTTATTGCCCATATTATCTTTTTTTTATTTTCCCAATTGTTCTACAATGAACATATATTACTTTTACTAGGAAGAGCACATTGTTAAGACAAATTTCAAAAACCAACCACAGGTATGACTATACATACACATATATATGTAACTAGTGAACTATTACACTATTTCCACACTTCCTTAGATAGATATGCTGGAAAAAACCATAATAATTGAAAAAAAAAAAAAGCCTGTTCTTACAGGTTAAAGGATTCTAATAAATGAGAAATCAAAAGTAATTAATTAAATGATAGGAAAGATAACTACATGAACTAAAAGGATGTACTTGTTTCTCTTCTTGATAATCTTCCACAGGTAACCCTTTATGGCTCTAATTGTTTGAATTCTTCAGAGATCATATAAAATTGAGATTTTTGGAATCAGATGTCTGACATTAAGCAAATACATTCAAAAGATAAAATGATACTTATTTAATTCAGCTTTGCAATATGCTTTCACATTTCAAACAGGACACTGTTTCTGTGAAAATTACTATGAATTTTAGGATGTTAAAGAAGCTAAAATATATCAATTTACCTACACCAATTTTTGTAACTTTGTATTGTCACACTGACATAAATGTTCCTGGAACAGCTAAGTTATGAGTATCAGGTAATGAGTGATGAGCAGGACGTGGATCTAAAAAAACAGCTAAAACATATACAGGGAGTTCAGGGAAATAACAAAGATTACACGATCTCCAATGGTGAAGTCAAAATAAAATGTAAAGACAAATCTCTAAACTAAATGTTTTATTTGCGAATCACAGAATTGCATTTCAGAGCATAGACACAAACCAGGGTGATCTTTGGGATGTCTGAAGAACAAAAGAGAAGGTTGAGAGTTTTGTCAGAAAGAAAAATGTTATGCACTGTTCGGAAAGAAGGCTCATTGGCACTAGAGAAGCGTTTGGGAGCTGGCAAGCTCTGGTGAGTGAAGGCAGCAGGTAAAACTAGTCTTAGAGTCATGGCATGTCGTGACTGGTCT